TCATATTTGAAATCTGATTAAGAGCAGCGTGATTATGCTGATACTTCTGGTCCATGTTGGATTAACTTCAGGGATTTATGTTTTATATTTTGCTGGAGATGCATTCACACCTAAATTGAAAAGATGTTTTTCATACAAACTTGAAGGTAAAAGTAACCCTAGTAATACACAGAGTAACTCTAGTAATATATACACAAATGCCTGAATGTTTATCTCACACAGTTGTAGATCAGACCAGGCAGAAAACTACTTTATGGGAAGCTTCAAGTTTGCATCAAGGCCAAGTGTTTTCTTTAGGTTTAAACAAGTGCCAAACCCTGCCTGTGGCATGCAGAGGTACAGGAGTTGTTTATAGGTAGAATGTGGGGAGTTCTGCTTTAAGCAGAGTTGGAAGGACCTCCAGAGGCCCTTTGCAGCCTATACTGCTCTACAATTTTACAAATAACCATAACTGATGGAAGTATGTAATTAGAAAACAGAAATAACACCTCTCAAAGAGCAACTGCTCTGAGTTCATTCTGTTAATGTTACTTCAAAACTTCAGGTAAAGCACCACCACTGAATCTCCACCTGTAACTACTTGTGCCATTTTCCCTGTGATGGATTCTGCCACTCTCACTGTGACACTGGGGATGGCCCAGTGATCCAGGAGCTCTTTTTTCCACCATGCAAAGAAGGCCTTGTGGTTTTCACAGATAACAGTGTCAGGTACAGACTGCACAAATACAAGCATTTACAAGCACAAAGAGAAAAACATCCAGTGTTGCTGGTTTAGGTTTTTCCTCCTACATGCCTAACATCAAAGGGTCAAACAGTGTGCAAACAGTGCTACAATAAAAAGAATCTTCAGTATTTTCTGTATCAAAGTCACCATGATGCTGTATATGTATTCCTTTACTTGTAGCTTTTACAAGAAAGGGGTCATTAAATATGACACCCCACTTTGACACTCTGCTCATGGAAAAGGAATTTTTAACCAAGCCCCTTCCTCAGGTGGATTTATTCCTCAGCAAGTTTGTGAAGATGGATACACAAGAGCTATGCCCAGGCTGTAACACAAAAACCCAGTAAGATTTTCTAGTCTGAGTTTAGATAGAGACCCATGAAAAAGGCTCATTAGATCTTTGGAGGGTTTTCAATTTTTTTCTGTTGAGCTTCCTTGGGGGTTGGATTGTTTCTTGGGGGGAGTTTCAGGATTTTTTGCAGGCATTGTCACATACATGTAGAAAGCTCGTGTTTTTCAGATAAGTGTTTGCCTTTTCATTAGAACTTTTATAGGCGAACACACCTGAGGATAAATAGACAATAAGAAATTTGAGATTTTGGCATCTCTGCCAATACTGGTTCTTTATGAAGTATTAATAGTGCTCTCTAAATACTTAATATGTAATAAGCATCAGAGGAAACATTGGGCTGCTCAAATTTTCTAGGGTTTTTTGAGTTATTTTTGCTATATACATCAGTCAAATTATGTTTGAGAATCTGTTTCCTAATCACAAATCCAGACATCTTTATAACAAAATAATAAGGAGAATACAACAACTTAACTGGAAGAGGACAAATCAGATTAATTTTAAAATCTATTTCATGTACTTTTCAAATGAGCTCATTTGCAAGCAATGATGTGCCAGTTTTTCCTGTTTGTCCCTCATTTCTCTGTCACCCATCAGAGTGAAATCATCAACAGATCAAATTTAATCACATGGAAATTAAGGTCACTAAGAGGCATAAAAAAAGAGCCACTCATTCAAGTGAATACAGAGACTTTATATTTGCTAGGTTACCATGTTTGAAAAAGCTTATCACTTGCTCACAGAAAAAGTCATAATTTGCATGAAAGGAGGAACTCCGCATGCAGTGTTGGTAGCAAGGTTCCACAGCTGATCTCTGCTGCAAAGCTGCCACACGAGACCAGGACAAAATTTGATTTTGACTGAGAGCTGGCTAAGTGGAAACCTGAACATTATCCTTTTTCATAAGAGCACACAATTCACTAATGCCAAGATTCAGCAAGTACCAGGAGACTTTGCAGCCCTCCTTGTACTGCAATGTCTCAAGAACAATGGGTTTTCATCAGGTAAAAATCATTCCCAAAGTGTGAGAATTCCTGTGTGGCTGTAATGTGCTTCAATTACCACTACTGCACATCTGGACTAGTTTCACTGAAGGGTTTTCATACTAGGAAGGTGCAATTCCTTGTGCTCTTATGTACAGCTACATAAGAGGCAGTGAAAGGAAAAGTCTGATGGTTAAGTTTAAAGTAATTTGAGTCAATTCAATAAAAATACTTTCCAATCATGTTACATTAAAACAACACCAACTGCCAAAACAATAACAACAAAAACCACTAAAAAAATATAGCCTAGTTGGAAAGTAGAAATGGCAAATATCACATGCCAAGCTGAGAAAGTTTCTAATTTAGATTTACTGATTTCTCCTTCCTGAGCATGGGAAGTCACTAGAAGTTTTGGAGAAGGACCTTTTTGTAGGTCCATGCAAAAACCAGTTTAGTTTGTCACTCAAGGCTACACCTCAAACAGTTTCCTTCCTACTACCATGAAATAGGAACTGACAAAACAACTGTATGTTCTGTAAAATATAATTAACAAAACACCACACTTACTGAGTGAACTCAATTATAAAAATAGATCCCTTTCAGTCACAGGATTTTCTTTCAATCCCAAATAATGATTTGGAGATTAAGACAGCTAGAAAATAATGTTTCAATACACAGCATTCCAACACCAAAACTGACATAATCCAAAGGAAGCCTCAGGAGACATTGGCCTCTCCACCTGCAGAAATGACTGTAGTGCAATTCAGGGTGTTTGCCAGTGTAAGCCATCATGAAATTGGCAGAGAAGTGGCAGATCCTGACATTTTAAATTAGTTGAAAACAGAGAATGAGACTAATGAAGAGGTGGAATGTGGGCAATAAAAATGTACCCACATCACATATGCCAAGTAAACAGAAGAATGCCTGGTACCTCGAGCTTTGGTCCTGAGAATAAGGAAAATTTTTGCAAAAAATTATCTGCTGTGTTCATTGCAATATACAGCCTTAAACTAGTAGCCAATCTCCTGGGATAAATAAAGGTTAGTTATTGCTAAACCTAATTTAAAATAATTCAAAACCTGTCTGGAACAGAACTAGATAAGCATGTGCATGAGGGATGTAGTTACAGAAGAACAAGTGCAATATACTTGAAGCTTACAGGGTAGAGTCTGAGCAAGTGAAATATCCCCAAGAAAACTGAGAGCATCCCTGGCTCAAATTTGAGATTGAGCTTAGCCAACCTCCTTAAAATGGAGAAAATACAGTAGCAGGACATCAGGGTATAAAAACAAGCCAACCACCACGCAGCTGCACCAAGCACCACTGCCCCACCCCTTCCCTCCTGCCAAGCCCACATCAAATACCTTATCTGTGAGGTCAGTCCTCTCTCAGTGAGGGGAAAAACAGTACAGGAAATGCAATTGTATCACTGCACCTTAATAACAGATGGGCAATCCCAGCTTCACATCCTTTTTGTCACAAGCAGTGGTGCATGTAACTAAACTGCTGGAGACTTGGATCTGTCAGAGCACACTCACAACCAGGACACCCTTCTTGAGAAGGGAAATTTATTTTCTCTCACTCTGACCAGGGCTAAACTCCAGTCATCCAAGCAACTGAGCTCTGATTTTCATCCAGACTGCAACACTCCTGTTCTCCCTGAGGGCCTGCAACAGTGATTAGGCAGAAGCCTTCCTCATAACAGAATCCTGTTTATTGAACTTAGAGAAAACATTTATAAAGAAAAACAAGTGGTTTGGGTTCTGGTAGTTTGTTTGGGGTTTTAGTTTGTGTGCTTTGTTTTTGTTCTTTTGAATTGCTCTAAGTTCATCTGGCTGTACACGAATTTATGTTTTCAACTTCAGAAATGCACTGAACCTTCCTAGCATGTAACTTCTGGCAAAAGACGATGTCTCATCACCTCTTGGAAACAGGATTTTTGAATGCACCTGATGGAGTTCTTTGGGGTTGTTTGCATTTCTTTTTTAAACTTGCATGCACATACAAACTTCCAGAAAGACAGTCTATTGCTACTGAGCCTTACTTTCTCCTCTTCATTGTATTGCTACTGAGCATTAGTTTCTTCTCTCTACTCTAAGGGGAATCAGCAAATTGCTTTCCCATAGGGAGCTGCTATAAAACAGAGTAGTCTTTGTTTGCTGACCCAATTACATAAAATATTAACAAAAGGGAGGTTATTGCCTAACAACATCATCATTGAGTTACAACCAAAGTTACATAGTTCTTGTTCATGACTTTTAGTACTCTCCATTAATTTCACCCATTTCCCTGCATTGCATAAAATTCTTACGCATTAATTCATTCAAATAATCTAAAAAGTCTTCCATACAGAAGTCTTCATGTGAAATTTATTATTTATGAGGTGTCAAGGGAACAGTATTACAGCTGTAAGAGACTATTTGCTAGAGACATGGGACAATTAAATTTTAAAAAACTGACACACCTTGTTAATTAGAAATGCCAACATTTGACATTTTTATTCCCAAGAAAACTGATTTATTATAGATTCATTTAAATTTTGGGAGAAAGCTGATGCTGGGAATTCTGATTCACAGCAGATTTCCAACCACAGGTTTCAGATCACCTTCTGTAGCACAAATAGATACAAATGAATTGTACCTAGCCCTCTATATCTAAAATTCTGAGTAAGCACTGCTGTGTCAAAGAACTGATTTTCATCCACTTTCTGATTCCTCATTTCCCACCTGGGACTGTGCAAAGCACTTTTTAAGCAGTATTCTGAGTAGCTGGAAGAAAATTAATGATTTTTTGTTGCTCAGTAAACACAGCTACACCAGTGACCAGCTGTGGCTTTTTTTTGTGTTTCTTCTTGTGAAAGTAAAAAAGGTGATATATGAATACAAACAGAATAGACACATTCTTGATTCTCAAAATTATTTTCATATATTTTCCTATAATTTATTTTATGTATTTTTATCTAAGCAGGTTCTCTTCTACAGTTGTGTAATACTATCCCAAACCTCCTGTCTTAGAAACTGGTAATTTTTGGGTTTTTTTCCACAATCGTTAGTATTTCCATATACTGGAGCACTTACAACATCAGAGAAAAGTGCCTTCAGCATCACTGCACAAAACTGGAATTTGTTTTCTTCACTAACCCAGATATTTAACAGTGTCATGTGACCAACCTACAGCCTCCCTAGAAATCAGTCACAGTGGCTGATAAACTCACACAACACAGCAGTTGAACTAACAGTGCCTCGTGTGGAAAGGGATTTATAATGGGGAGGAGACAGGGAGGTACACAACTTGTCACACCCCCGACCACACACAGGAGTAAGTTTTTAACTTTTCAGAGCGGCATTTGGAGAGTTTCAGGACAAAGCCCATTGGCAATGATTCTTTCAGTCTGAGTAAAACAAGTGCTGGCTCATCCACACAACTGTGCCATAGATCATACAAAACTTTATGCTAACTCAGAGTGGGTGTGTGTTTGAGCTTCTTTGTTATTTATGCAAAATGTGAATCCTTCTGCAAAACCTGTGTTCCAAAGGGAATTCTTCTTTCCAGGTCCTTGTAGCAGCTGGTTGAATAGAACAGGATAATTAGATTCCAGCAGTCAGACAGCCGAGATTTACTGACTGTGAGAAGTAATATTGCCCCCAGTAAAGGAAGCAACATAAATTGCTCTGGCTCAAAGGGGTACCTCAGACATATTGACATTGACTTCACAGGGTATCAGTATGCCAAGTCCTCCCTGTGTGAGAAGCACAGGCAAACCTGCTGGGGTGGGATTAATGTGCCAAGAGAGTCATGGAGAGGCTATTTGAAGCATCTGGATCATCTCTTGGTTTGAATAGTGCACAAAAGAGATTGTTTATAGGAAAGATGCAGTAAGAGAGGCATAGCAAAAACAAACAAAAAATTCAAGGAAAAAAAACCTCAAAGAAACCAAGCTTGAAGAACATTCTAGAATTAGAAACAAAAAGCTAGATTACAACCTTTTAAAATCCAAATCATTGTGGATGATTCTATAAAGACCTGCTGTGTTATGGCTGTGTCCAGGCTTTAGGTTTCACCTGTCTCTACAATATTTTTGCCCAGGTTACCTACAATCCATGAATTTATTCTTCTCGGGCCTGCTGTCATTGGAAGGCAAGAGTTATTAAATGTCCTTCTGTATTTGGAAGGAACATTCTCTCATGGATTTCTGAGGGGGAAAATAATCCTTGGGCATTTGGCACAGAGAATGTTGCAATCCACCCACAGAGACACAGGTGAGAATAGTCTGACTGCCAGGGTGCCAACAGGACGGGATCTGCTCAGAGTCCCTGCCAATCCCACGGCCTAATTGTGCAGCAGACTCACCTTCAGCTGTGTCACCATGGTTATTTCCCAACAGTCCATTTTGGAAGAGGGGCAGGAAAATATTACAAAAATAAAGCTTTGTGAGAGTCTTTCTAGACACCACTAGTAAGTATCAAAAACTCCTGAAGGTAAGTGGAAGATAAAGGCAACAGAAAGAACAAAAAACACAGCTTGTCTATTTTTCCTACTGAAGTTGAGATGCTGTTTCAAAAGGGGTTATCTCAAAGAATACAGACACGTGCTAGAGGCTGGGCATAATTATTTAGACTGACTGACTCACAGATGTCACCTTCAACTGGTTTGTCAGTTGTCATGCACTGCCTGACAATCCTGCTCAGAGATGAAGTACAAACAAGGCTGCACATGTACTGTCTAACAGTGCTGCACATTGCACCAAAGGCACTGTCAAAGACAAATCTAAAGAACAGCTCCTCAGGCGTATTCTTAGACAGTAAGAAATGAACAGAAGTGCCACATAACTCACTCATGAGATACTGGTCTTCTGCTTTATGTACTGGGGTCTAAGATCAGAGACATGCAGGGCTGAGGTGCCAAAGCTATGAAGCATTCAGAACCATTAAGAATATTTTGCTCTCAGGGTATGAGGTCATATTCAAGAAACTTTTGCACAAATCTGACCTCAGCAGACTATTAATCCCATTTTAATGTGGATATTTCAAGTCATGATGCATTTATAAAGGTATAGATGTCACTTATCTAAAAGAGTTTGAAGGCACTCTGAAGGGACAGAATAAAAATTGTTTTGAAAGCTGCTCACTGGAGAACTGTATTCTTTCCATGTGTTCTATGACAAAAACAATCAAGACTGACAGACTGGAAAATCTCTCCCTTTACTGCAAATATATTGATGCCCTGTATCTGCTAAATTAAGCCCACCTCTGCAGGTGTTTGTTTTGCCCACTAGGAAGAGATAAAACAGTCAGTGACATTGTCATGGCAGCACTGAACTGTATCTCAATATATGCAAGCTTAGTAAATACAAAGTAATAAATTATTTTCTTTTACATTTGATATGAATTTTTATGGCGACAAATCAGAGGCTTGTTAGGAAGCACAGCAATGAAGCATCACTGCCTGTGACAAACAAGGGGACTGGAATAGTGCAATACTCTTGGGTCCATGTAGTGACCTCAGTTATAATAAAACAGCACAGTATGGGCACTTACACAGTTGTGTTTGGTCCTGGTTTCTAGGCCACTTCAAACAATTTCAGAACAAATACTTTGGTTAAAGAGATAAAAGAAAATCCTACCTGTACAAATTATATTTACAAGCAAGACTTACTCTGCTTCTGCCATTGTTCAGACTTGAAATGACAAGGAGTAGAATTAAGTGAAGTTTTAAAGAACTTGCATGTAATCCGAATATAATTCCATGCTTCTCATATATTTCCTGAAAGAAGCTCTTGAAATATTCTTACCCACTTATTTAACACTGCAGCTATGCCTAGTCACTATCATTAAGGGAGATAAACATATTCAGAATAATTCAGCTCCACTAATTCCCTTAAGGAAAGGAAAATGAAATTTAAAAAAACCAACTGAATTTTGAGTGCATCAGCCCTTAACATATGCTAGAAATCAGAAAGTAATTACAGTTGCTTAGAATGTCCTAAATATCGGCTGAAATATTTTAACTTCATTTAAGACACCAAATAATTGAAATAAAATTCTCTTCTCAGGAAAAAAAAAGAAGTCTCACCTTGAAAACAGGGCTTAAAGGTGATAAAAAGGCACCCTTTCAGCCTAACAGTTATGCTCTTTAGAAATTTTTGTTTAAGAAAGAAGAAAAAGTTTCTGAAATTGTGGCTGAGATAGACATACCAAATTATCACAGCTAATTTTTTTAAAAGCTTTGAAATGTGTTGATTGAATCAAACTTGATTCCTTTTTATTTGACTAGATTTTAGCTCTTCCTGTGTCAAATCCAGGAACATATCTAAAACTACATTTTTGCCATAGAATGATCTCTAATGCCCAAGGTTTACATCTGCATGGAGGACAGACACAAAGCAGTACCCCACACAGGATTCCTGCTCCCAGCCAAAGAAAACACAATGACATTACTGGAGCTGATAGCTGAAAACAGGGACATGGAGGTTCAAAACTAACAATTTAAGAGTAGACATATCAAATGCACACACAGTACTATGGGAAGTCTTGGTACACCCCCAGATTAAATCCATGAGATACTACAGACACTTCAGAATATACATCTTAAGGTGTACAACACATAAAACTGCTGTTCTGTGGCACAAAGTCACATTTCTTCAGACCGTGACTGGATCAGGTGGAACCTTCTGATGAGAAGAAGAAAATTGCTCTTCCTCTGTTCTTCCCTCATTTTCAGGCAGGGAAGCTTCAGTTTAGTACACAGGCAGGGAAAGAGAGAACAAAAAGAACTCAGCAAGACCTGGGATCCTGTAGTTTATTCAAAGACTAGAAGACAACTGAGAAAATAGAGCTATTAAGGGTAACAGCAGAATACCAGTTCTGGCATTGACCAGCAATAATGGATACCAAGAAATATGAAGGAAATTCGAAAATACCAACCTCTGTAACAAATCTGGAGAGATAAGACAGAATTAAACCAGAAAGCATCCAAAGATACAACAAGATAACAAAGTATCAAATTCTCACTGAAAATGTGATGGAAAGAGGCATCTGATTCCAAAGGTTCCCTTACAACACCTTGCCAGCCTGTAGTTTCAAGTAAACATTTAAATCAATTTCTTCTCAGGAAAATCGCAGATTAAAATATGGTCCATCCTATTTCAGATTGCTTCCTATCCCCAACTTCCTTCTATTTAATCAAATGAATGTTACCATATTTCTGATGTAACACAGTCAAGAAAAGAAAACAGAACTTGTAGCCTCATCTTTATTTTACTTAAGGCTAAAACTTCCCAGTCACCAATGATTTCACCTGCTTTGCCCCAAAAAAACATTTACTGAAGGAGAAAAAGGCTTTCTCTGATGACATCTGTGACAATAAAACATTGGTATGCATTAGAGAAGCAACAGGACAAGCAGAACATCTGCCAGAGGCTATTTCCCCCTCCCTGTCACCAGTATCAGCTATTCCTATCGCAGAGCTTAAGCCAGGCTACAACAGTACCAAGCTTTAAATACAGATTAATTCTTCCCACTATGTTTTTCAATGTAATTTCTAGACTTATTTTACATTTTTATTGCGAATTCAATTCCCAGAGGAGCTCAAGCATTTTGGAAACTATGTGAAGGGCTGAACTTCAACAGATTGTTAACATCTGGAGTAAGAGGCAAGGAAATATTTATCAGCAGGTGGCTCCAGGTATGGTTGAAGGTAACCCGGGACCAGGACTACAGAGAAGAGTCTCCAATAGATGCAACTTCATTAAAATGGGATTCAATACCAGGATATGAGTCATGGGGTTTTTTGATGTAATACTTCAGCACTTGTTAGATGTTCTGTAACCATACTGAAGTTTCACAGTATGAGTTGTGAAATTTAATATGTTAAATACATCCACAGCATATATTACCTTACTTTGCCACCCTTTATTATATGAGCATGCCAGGTTCATAAAGAATCATTTAAGAAGGATAAGAGATTTCCCACATTTGAATATAATTGCATATTCTTAAGAAATACTTAATACATCCAGTCTCCACACATGTGACAGATCTTCTAGCTTTCAGTGGGCACCAGCTCCAAGTAAGGATCTCAGCCAGCTGACATGATTGCTCTTTTGGTAAGAGTTTTGGCCATTTGCTGCAGCAAGACATTCAACACACCCAACCATGCTGGATGCACCTTACAGGTATTATTAACACTTGAATCAGCACAAAGTATCTTTGGATGGCTATGTAAAGACACACTGTATGAAAATTCACAAGCTGTTTTCAAATTCTTAGGAGTAACAAAGTGCCCAGCAAAATAACAAGCAGATTCTTCTAGATGCATACTTAAAATAATAGTTCATCCTATGAGTTTCATCCTAGTTGGAGAAATTTTTTCCTGGAAATTCCCTGGGAATTTATTTTGTGTTTTTCTGCCTTACTTCTAATGCCACTGCCTCTTGTGGGCTGCTTTTTTGTAAGAAACTTCTAGTTCTAGGAAGTACTCATGATAAAAAAGTAAATTACTTAAACGTTTTATTATTTAAAATAATGAATTAATCCTATATTCTGATAATGCATTTTAAAAGACCAATAGAACAGTATCCTGGAGGGTACTTGAAATGTCATGTCACATTAAATCAAAATGCAAAAACTTTCCTTCTGCTTTCTAAACACAGAATGATTCTGTGCTAAAAGGAAAAAAGATGACACAGGAGACCTGTGTTAGGAACAGATAGAGAACACAGCCAATTAAAGACTTGCAGATTAATCAAGACTGGGAAATGTAATTTGGATGATTGAGTATCTTTGGGCTTTTAATGAAAAGGAATATGAGGGACATATGGAGAACCAGTGTCAGGTTAACATCTACATGTGATAGGGCCACTGAATACTCCTGCACCTTTCAATAGAGTTTCATCACACCATGCCCAATAGGTACCTCCCCAATAATTCCTATTGGAATTATCCATAGAGAATAATATCATAGAGAATGAACTAATTAACTGAGCAGAAAGACAGTCACAAACTCCTGTCATTATAAGTCAAAGATTAAATCTGGAAACATGGCTTTTAATGTTTTTGAAAAATGGTTAGGTAAGATTTTCAATTAGTGTAGATCATGTAGAGATTTTTAGATTTCAAAGGCTTTCAACACTTCAACAACTGTTTCAAATCTTCAATAAAGCATTATTTGATAACAGATGTTAGTGTCCTTTGTTTCTAAATCCAAAGGCAAGGAACAATAACTTCCAAAACAAACTCAAAAACTGTTTTAATAAAAAGCAATGGAATAAAAGAGCTTCCTATTCATGAGAGCTGACTGATGATGATGATTACATTGATTAAAAAAAGAATGAGAAAAATAAAAGGAGGAAAATCTAGAAACTACTCCCAGTAAAATGCAAATAGTGGCAGCAAGAGAAATAAAAACCCAATAGAATTGCTTTTCAGAGACAGAGAATAGAAAAAGAAAAAAAGTTGCTTTCCATTAACACACAAATAGTATTATTACATCTACCCCATCAAGAGATGCAAAAAATGTGTAACTACAGAAGACTGGCATAACCAGACTTTAGTGACATGGTTATAAAAAGGAGATTAAAAGCAGCAGAAAACATGGAAGCAAACAAGTATTTGTAAACAGCACACAAAGAACAGCTAGAGGCAGTAACTTGGGCTATAACATGGCTGATAAAGCAACTTTGCAACTCTCTAATCACCTAAGTCCCAGGACTCCTTGTTTTGTGCGAGCAAATAACTCATTGCTTTCATAAAGCAGTAAATTTCATGCATAATTTTGAAGTACTGAAACACGATGCATCCCTTAGGAGAGCAAACAGTTTGCAACTAATTGAGAAATGGACACTGGAAATGGAATACCAGTGCAGTTTGGATAGAACAATTCCCATATGGAGAGATTTCTGCAGAGCAGGGTGCCTTTATTATCAGACTCCTCTTGGTGCCCAGAAGCATCATCACTTGTATTGTTTGAGTGTGCACTGGGAATTTCTGCCCATCCCACCCTCTTCCTGTGTCAGGGAAGAGGGGATGTAACCTCACCAAAGAGCAATCAAGAGCAGGTTGTAAGAAAGAATGCCTCCCACAGCTGTTTGTGGATGCACAGAAACTTTAGCAGAAGGTTCCCAGAAAGGATTTTATGCACCTTTTGGTATTATACAAGATGATAAATCTTAACTTTTTTCCTTGCTAAAAACCAAGAAAGTCTCCGACTGGTTTTACATCTAACTGGGCTCCCACACATTGCCTAATAGGCCCCTCAGAAACCACATGAAGGAACATAGGCCTGACTAATAAGAGTGTGGCCAAAGTCCAGAATGAAATGTCACTTCTATGCTTTTAAAAACTCTCTGTATGTATTTTATTCATTGTATTTAAGTGATCCTGAAGTACAGAGAAATATCTGGAGGGACCTTAGGCCAGTAATAAATCCAACAGCAATGAAGCATAAGAATGCAAATTGATGACATATGTGGGAAACAAATTAGACACAAAGTAATTGAACATTAGTCTTTGTATAATTGATTTCTTACTAACTGACATTGATTGTACCTATCATTTTGGATTTCCATGAAGCTATTCTCGATCACACAGTTTCTAATTTGCCTGAAGCCTTGTGAGGAAGCAGCATGTGCAATAACACAGGCCAATACTTCCCGTAGTTCCCTGCTGTTACATTGTAAATGATTCCTCTTTGCAAAGATTAATCCCTGTTTTCTAGACATCTCTATTAGAAACAGAACATTTAGATTTGCTAAAGGCTTTGGAAATCTACATACTGTATATAGCAGATTAAAGTTTGCATCAGGAAAGAATCGAATTCAAAGCTTTGAGAAGGCATTCTAGATTTTGCTGTACATAAAAATATCCCTGCATACTCCTATTAGCAATAACAAAAAATACAAGTCTCCTCTTGAGCCTCCAGCTCTAAGTTTGTCCCAGATTCTGACAAACAGCATGCAATTAAAGATCAGAAGGAGAACAGAACAGGAATGAGATTTCTAAACCTCTCTGGAGGGTGCCATATCTGCACACATGTTGATAGGACTATTCCCTTTACTTTGGTGATTATACTGCAAACTGTTTATAACTCTGCCCTAGAGAGTAAAAGACACACCTGAATAGGGCTTCACCCACTGAGCACCTTTAAGTTCTTTATGCAGAAATTTTTCCTTTCAAAAAACAGATTACTGTTTCCACTGGCCTGATTTATTGGGGCCTTTTGTGGGTTTTTTGAGGGTATATATGACAGTAATATAGTTTAGTCTACATCTGACAATAGCACATCAAACATTAAAGATGAAACAATATGAATTTTTTTAACAGCTAGAGCTATGTGATATTTTGGTCACCCAAAAACTCTTGATAAGTTCACAATCATGCTCAAACTTATGAATTCAGCCTTTCACTCCCTTAGCTGTAATTAATTCCAAGAGAGGTCAAGTAAAATAGTTAGATGGCAACAAGTAAATTTTAGGGACTCATTAACTTTTTATTTGAATTTTGATTCTTGACTGCACCCGGGAAAACTGAGGAAAAAAACCAGCTCATAGGGGTGCAAATTTAGGCCTTATTAAGCATCAATCACTTATAAGGAGAAGCTATGAAATATAGCAGCAGAATTTCCTCAGCTTGAACCATTTCTATGATAGAAAGACTTGGACACGGTATCTACTGTTGTTCAACAAGTATTAGCTTATATGGTGCTGTGTATGATTAAGTGGTTTTTGTTACCTTAGGTACTTTTCTGTAAAATTTGTGCCAATTTAATGTGGTAACAAATCTCCTGCAGAAGCTGCCACTGGTACTTGTTAGGCTCTAACAGAAGAGAAGTCACTTGAGAGAATCTATAACCCTCAAATTCAAAAGTCAAACCTGAAAGGAACTTGAAGTAGTAGGCTGAAATTACCAAAACTGTTTTAATAAGCTTGATAGAAAACCAAAAACTCTCTTCTGACATCTGCCACAACTGGGAGCAAAAAAATAAACAACCCCAAGCTATGAAGTACTGGATGCTTTTGAAGTTATAACACAGCTGAATACAAGACCTTTGCTCTCCAATTGTACCTGAATGTCTGTGTGGGGTTTCTCCTCACTGACTACAGGTGTCCCACATTCCTGTAATGAAATTTGTTTTCAGGTCTTCTACCCCTAGAGATATTTGCAAAGTTTAGAAACAGATAGTAGTGAAGTTTATAATGATACTAAAATTTCACTTAGTATCAGGCTAGCAATACTAAAATATTAACTGCTTGTAAAATACATTAGTCTAAAAAATAAACTTCTGACATTCGTTCTCATCTTCATAGGTACTTTTTTAAAAAATGAAATAAAATTTTATCACAAGAAGAGCACTGAAAAGAAAGAACTATGATCACTGAGCTGCTAAAAAATGCTTGAATGTTTTCAGATACCTAAGCCTGAGTCACTTAAGCATTTAATTCTGATTGATCTTAACAAAGCTTGGGCATCTTTATACTTTCATGCATCTGAGACTTGAATTCTTAAGGCCTTTCAATCATGATGAAAAAATGTACCCTATCACTTGCTAAATAAGTTCACTCTAAGTTGTATTTATGTCAGCTTTCATATGGGCAAAGAGAACAGCAATCATTTTCATGTAGCTTGGGGCTTGAAACAAGCTCTCACTTATACAGGAGTAAATTCAGGGTAATTTCATTTACTTCATATGACTGGATCTGGCCTCTTGCTTCTGACTCTGCCTGTGGTAACAAAAATCAGTACTGTAACATTTTTTTCCCCTCCAAAATAAGATTGCATTTTAAGGAGAATGCTTACTAAGAGGAATGTCAAGGTTTTGCACCACTTACAGAGATTGCTGGCCTCTCTACATGGATATTTGAGCTCAAGCAACCAAGATTATTTTTTGTGAAGTGAGATAGGGAAGACATGCACAGACATAGAACCTGCTGCAAAATACCTTCCCCTTACATACACAATTACTTTCCAATCCCTGCCATCCAAAAAATAAAATGGAAGTCTAAACACACAAGTTATGGCACCATATAAACTGCATTCAAAGGGCAGAAAGATCCATGCTTTGGATTAGTACTGCAGTAGTTAAAAGAAGATAAGTCAAGATCCCAAACTTCTTTTCTGGCACAGTAATTTATTTTCACTTTTTTCATTTGTTCTGGCATAGCTATTCCTAGCAGTCACCTGCCAGGCAGGAGCAGGTGTACAGCTGCTACTGTGCCAGGTAACACACCACTGAAAAGGGGAGCCAATTTCCAGCACTTACAGAACATCTTCTATCAGGTCTGCAGCAGAGTTTCAAGTCTGGCACATCTTTGCATCATTACTCTTGAAAATTTTTGATTTTCTATTTAAATACATAGATAGTCCATAATAACCTACTTACAGTTCCCTGTGATCATTATTCTTTCCACTGAAAATTACGGCAACTGGAATCCTCTGCACCGCAGCAAATACTGTACACACCCAGAAAGAAATCAAAATGTGTCATCATTGTTGATAGAAGGATAAATATAGTTAAAGTCAGATTAATATTTCCAAGATTACTCATTTCTACTTCAAAAGCGAAGCAAAGATCATGTGCGAAATGACAGCTACCCATCTGGGACTGGAAAAGTCACCATATGGATGCCTCTTGCTAATTATAGATAAATTTTTGATCTAAGGGATTTAAAAGTAGGGATCTGTCAGTTCAAAAATATACTTCCTCTCCTCCCTCATTCAGGCAATGCTTCGGTGCTGGTTAATCAATTAAACAGAGCACTGGATCATACAGATTTGCTTCACCTTTAAGGAGGGACTTTTCTCCCTCTTCATGCAACATGCAGTCCCATTTGTAGCTTAGCTAAAGAAATACGCTACAGTGGTTCCTTTTTTCAACCCCAGATCAAAGCAGCCTCTATAATTTTTTAGCCCAACAGCCCACACATTCAGAGGCCATGAGACTGCCTTATATTACTACTCCACATATGTTATCTCTACTTGAACTACAGTATATACTCCTGAAAACCATACTAAGTGGACTACAAGATGTTTCAATAACATAATTATCACCCAAGTTCTTCCAAGAGCAATTAATTTACATAAATTATTAAGTATGCATTCCTAACTTTGTGCAAGTTGCTTCCTCTTAGACTGTAAAATTAATTTTTTCTTGTATTTCGTCTGACTGATTAATTCTCTATCAAATTAGCCAACTTTACTGCATTTATTTTTAGACTGCATTGTTTCTTCAGCCTTTGCTTTTATACACTATTAGGGTGAGCTGGTTCTTGGGGGAAAAAAAAGGGTTCCTCTAAACCCTCCAATTTTTGGCCTCCTTCTAGAACTGCAAGGACCAGCTGATACTCCAGTAGCAGTTATATTGCTGCCAAATGCAGAGGCTGCAGAGTCTTTTCATGCCTGCTTAACATTTTATAGCATTTATACATGGACTGCATCAGCCTTTTTGTCACTACAGTAGAAATACACTTCTGCATGTGAAGGTAGCTGATGTGAAGAAAACCACATCCCTAATAACTGGGAGAAACAGGCTTTTCCATGAGACCATTGGTCTGCTGAGTTCACTGAAGGTTAGACAGAGCACATGTGTCAGATGTTACCCCTCTGCCTCAGAGGTGTTAGGGCCGGGCAAGAGCTGAAATGCAATTAAGTTGAATTCAGATCAACTGTTGTGTATTCTCTCCTCTCCAGGGGAGTTTTAGATACATCATAGCATCTTCAGCTGTGCTTTAGCCAGACAAGCCCAGTATGGGTTTATGCCAAAGACACTTTTTCACACTCTTCCTCTCCTGTCCCTGTAGAGTCTCACATTCTGTCTGTAATTAAACCAAGCACCTGGGACCATTATGCACAGAATTAGTCCCTGTACCTGCCCTTGACATACCTGAGTACTTCCTGAAGAAGTACATCTGACATGGATGTACATGAAGAAGTACATGGACTGACATCCACCTTTGGCACGTACACGTAAATGAGACTGAAAAATCAGATGGAAAAGGTAATTGCACCCAACCCATTTAGTTTCCTACCTAAAATACAGCAAATTTGCTTTGTGGAGACACCAGTTTTCTCAAGAACTACTGCTCCAGGGAAAGGAGGCTGCTAGCACTCTCAGGTGCCTTCAACAAGGGCCTATATTCCAGCTTCTCCCACTACCTTCTCTCACAGCCCAAGGGGAAAACAAGGTACAAAGAGATAATCACAAGCAATCATTTCCTTCATTTACGTGACTTTTAATACAGGTGGCAATAATCTAGCACAATGACCACCTATTGAGTAATCTACTTCTTAACTTAAGCTTTAGTTAAATAATCTTTTATCCAGGATATGTCTCTTATCCCATCAAGGAGCTACCTTAGCACTAACACTTATTCCTACAACTCCAAAGCTACACCATGCAACCATTTATACCAAGAAATTGCTTTGTCCTCATCATCGAAGCTGTATTTCCCATCACATTTCTAGGAATGACTTAGTAACTTATATTTTATGAAAACTTTAAGCATAAAAACCTCTTGCCTGCTGTACAGTCCCACACAGACCACAACATGCAAAATCACCTCACTCCACTCCAGCCCCTGTAAGCACCAAGTTTTCCTCATCTTATCATGGAATTTTCCACCCTTGCTTTCATAAAGTAAAATTTTAGCACACAGAAGATTTAATTCTTCAGCTAACCCAAAGATCCAACTTTTCCTAGAGAAAATGCAGGTAGTCAGCCTTCTAAGGACCATTTAAAGTTCAGCTTTAAACTCAATATAACATCCCATGGACAAGAACTGTAGATCCCATCATAAGGTGAGACAAAGCACTAGAACTCTATGCTAACGCATATTAATTCTATTAAACGCTCTGAATGCTTTTAAAAAACCAAACACAAACCGAAGCTGCATCTGCCCCAGGCGCTCTCCTCAGCTGCCCGACAGCCCCCGGAGGTCACAAGCACCTCCTGCGCTCCCACTGGCACCCAGGGGAGGGCTTTTCCCTCCCCTCACGCCCCTGGAGAACACGCAGCGGTACCTGCAGTGCAGATCTGTGTTAACACAAGTCCCAGAGGCAGCAGGCCGTGCCTCAGGGTTTCCCAAGTCACTCGGAGCCAGCGGCAGCCGCCCCCTGTAGCCGAGCGGCCGCAGGTGTACCCTGTACCCACACCCCGGCTCGCACCGCAGCCCACCGACACCTTCTTCTTCTAAAGCTTTCTCCCAGGCCAGGCTCCTGCTCTTCTGGGCTGACCTGTTCCATGCCCTTGGGCAATCTCCCTGCCCTGCCGCTTCACCTCAGCTGCCCACAGGTGCACCCGGAGCCCCCTCACAGGAACCGCCCCGCCTTCCCCACCTGCTCATCAGCATCATCCTGCTCAGCTGTGGCTGCTAACGCCTTGCTTTGAGCACACAAATTGAATTGCGGCCTCCCTGTTTGTACAAAAAGCTTCACTTAACAACAACAAAAAAAAATCCCAAAACAACAACAAAAACCAAAACCGAACAAATTTTAAAAAAGAAAAAAATTAGGGGAGTGAATTCAGAAATTTTAACGTCAAATTTCTAAGCTTCTAAATATGCAGTTCTGAATTGGGTCTGGAAAACCTTGTGAGAGACACAGAAGGGCACAAAGAATCACAGGCCTCGTGACAATATACTTAACTTCTGTGATCAAAGCATTGCCTACAGGCAGCATGAACAGAAACATTCAGAATAAGCTCCTGAAAAACTTCTCTTTTGTGAGACTCAATAGTTTACATGCTATTGAAAGGCAGCATCTATTTCCACTTGAAGTTTGCAAGGCCAGACTTGAAAGAATGTAAAGGTTTGTTTTGGCTTTAAAAAAATCTGTGGCTGTGGCCTGTTGTGCTCAGGAGAGCACTAAGCTGGAAAAAGGGAGCCAAAGTCAAGACCCTTGCTTATCTGAAGCAGTAATAGCAAAAACTCTCTTTTGTCACATTTCTGAAGAAGGAACAATTTTCACAAGTAACCCAGGTCTTTCTTTGCCCCTTCCATCAAAGCCCTACCTCTCTCCAGTGAGGAACAGCTGATTTATGGGGCTGGAAGAAAGCAGAACTCGGCCCTAATGATGCAGAGCATTTTCAAGGTCAGAGGGGATGGCAAGGCAGAAACTTCAGCTTCAAACAGCTGAAACCTCTCTGTCCCCCCACTCGGGTTTTTCTCTACTGGGCTGCATTTTTAAAACTGATGACAACACAGTGGGATCATGCTTTAAGAAATTACCTCCAAACTGTACAAGCATTTTAATAAAATATCTAATACTTTTGCCAGCTGGTGCATATTGTGAGCTGACTTGTGGTATGCTGAGGTCCCATGTACGCGTTTCCCAGAGATGTCGATGTGTTGAAGCAGGTTCAGTTCTTTGCTACTTTCACAGACTTAGCTTGCTTAGGATGGTTTCATTTGCATTTAGCTGAAGGAAAATTAGAACTTAGGAAAAAATTTCATATGGCATATCTACTAGAGATAATCATTCTCCTAATTCCCCAATGTCTTAAGGGAAAGTCAGGGGAAGAAAGAAGGAAATCCCTTAGCAGAATGAACAGCAAGAGAACCTAGCCTGACTGCTGATAAAAACACTAATATTAATAGACTTAAAGGATTGGCACAACAGGCTTTTTGTCTGATGAAAATGTGAAGAACAATGTGAATCATGACAATTTGAAGGAAAAGAAGACATATTTGAAAATGAATTAAAAGAATATATGTTTGAAAATAAAGTATATGTTTATGCTTTCTTAAAAACAGCTTCAGGCCTTTTGTTTGTATCTCATGATAATACCAAGCATGAACCAACAGAAGAAAGTTTCTGTATTTTGAATTTCCCTTACAAGTGTATCTAAAAGTACATGGGAATGCAGTGAGCACTGCTTGGGAGAAGACATATCCAAGGTTCTGTTCTACCAGAACTGCTTGTAACACATTATGTAGAAGGTTTGGTGGATTAAATGTAGATCCTCCCCATGCAGGTAACAGGCAATGTGAATTTAGGTCCTTTTGATAAAGTGCTAACTTTCTAAATATATACAGCTGTTTCTAGGAGAACCAGATGTAAGGTAGTGATCCATTCAGAGGGTTTAATGAACAGGTACTTCATAAGAAATGAACATTTATGTTGTCGGGGCTGGTTTTGTGTGTTAAAAGACCGCAAAATTTTAATCACAGAAAAATAATGCATTTTGATGTACTGGCACAAACTAAAACAATTAACATATACCCTAACAGCATGTTATACTGCAGAGTTAATGTTATTATACATATCTACATCTAAGGCAAAAATTGTTTGTAAGCAACTACACACTGAAATCATCCAATCCTGAACAGAATGCTGGAATATCAACCCAGATGAAAATCAGATTATGTTATCTGAAAATGCCTTAATAAAATCATTCATGAATTCATGGCATGTTTCTGTGCCTTAGCACAGACCAGCTATTATCAAAATACAGAGGTATTTTTTTCTCTGCTCACTATAACTAAGTTTTTGAAAAGTTTTACAAAAGGAATGTTTTTTCTCTTTTCCTTAATTGGACATTTGTTCTCTAGGCAATATTCTCAAGTTTTATGTTTATACCAAGTAAAAGAGTTCTTATGTGACATCATAAATGTCTCATGTGCTTTGCAGACCTGTAAAATCACAAAATGGAAAGTAATGTCCCTGTCTAAGAGTGCTGGCTGAACAACAGGAATTACCTTCAGGCATTCTGACTGCACAGCAAAGAAGAAACAACAAATCTGGGGGGCAAGCTGGCGGCTCAGCCGTCCATTTACATTCCATTTACCATTACATTCTGTGGGGACTTGGCTGGCACTGATCAAAAAAAGGTGGCCCAAGACCTGTCCCTTGTGTAGAGCCAACATAAGCAGAGCTGCTGAGGAGGTGATAAAGTTTTCAAGGTGGCACTATCCTGGAAATGCAGTGACTGCAGCTGCCACAGGGAATATCGATCAGGAAGTGTTAGGTGGTTGTAGGAGGGCTGGCAAATGAAGGCCTCTCATTAATCTCTTACAGATGAATGATGTCTTTGCTACAGTCTCACACAGGTCTTTTAGGAGCCAACTTCTTTTAGGCTTATTATCCAGAGTACAAGGACCTACACTGAACTCAGAGAAGCTGCCACTGGAGATGTACTCCCTCTCTTCTCAGTGGAAGATGTCTTGATCTTCTCTAGCATAGCTAGAGGACAGAGGAAACATCACAGAGGGAACCTGCTTCTCCTATGAGAACTTCGAATTTTATAGTTTGAAGAAATATTCATTAAAGCTCTTTATAAAAACATATAAACGCTAGCCTCTGTAAGTACTGATCAAACTTTTAAGAACTATGAGAGCTTTAATTGTGTATTTTGTGTGTGTAGATGTGTTATTACAGCAATTAACAGCTTCGAGCCACGGCAGTGTACCCCAAACCTCATGACACTTATAACTGGTGAACACAGTTAAAATGTCATTACAATACATTTTGAAAAAATCACTTGTGCTGCTAAGTATTGTGCCAAGGAACTAAGAAATACTGGCCCTGAGGGTGCCAGGAGTTGACCCTTTCAGATTTTTTTGTTGTTGTTTCCTGTCATTGCTACTATTTTACACAAATGGAAATGCAATTGCATCAGTAAATCAAGATTATGAAATCTTTAGTAATAATCAGGCTTAAATATTTGTTAATATTTTAAATTAAAATAATAAAGACTTCAAAAATACTTTTTTACCTGCATACACAAATCTAAATGTGGGTGTATTGGTGTTGTTTCCTGGGCAGTTGTTAGAAGTGGTATGTGCCCATATAATGGAAACTTACCAGAATGCACTTGTGTAGCAGCAGCTCCTGACTGTGGAACAATTTCTAGCCTGAGTTGGCACTATTATACTATGAGATGTAACTCCATAGTAACACAGTATGACCTGGAAAAAAACCTGCTCTTTGACCTGGCATTTCTGTCCCTGCTGTGCATGGATTATGCCACAGAGAGCTGCAGGCCTTGCCCCTTTGTTTACATATATAGCCCAAGTGTGGATTTCTACTAGAAGCTCAGAGGAAGCTCAGAGAAATCTCAGCACAGTTTTGCAGCTTCCTGGAGCCAGGGCTATGGTTCAGAAGATCTGTTGTTTTGACAATTTATTCAAAATGCATTTCCAAACCCTTAGCTTCATCAAGGGCAGCGAAATTTTAAGGCTGCCATTCAAACACACCTCATAGAACAGTCCCTATTAAATTATCCACCTTTTTGACATCTATAAATTGTTTAACATCAGGGTTAAACCACAATTACATTTTTTATAATAATTTTAATAAAGCATTATTCATGGGTGTGTTTCTATGATGGTCTCAGGGAAGACAAGGGCTGCTATTAAAAATGTAAAGCATGGTGACTGTGCTTTAATACACAATGCTTCAAGCTTCCCATGAAAATTTAATGATTTTTGATGTTTCAAAGAAACATCTGACTTAACAAGTGCTTGTGCCATTACTCACATGTATTTAAGTGTGTGACGTTGTTGTCATCTCTTCTTCCGTTTCCATCCTCTGGAGAACATAGCAGAGAGAACAGGAAAATTCTCCAAGAATGTTTTCTAGTCCCTACAGGCTGAGGACAAAACAAAGATAAACACACACTTCAAAACATGAAGTCATTCAAGAAAAGTTGTACTTTAAACCTCCTTCTATCTCTTGCTGCTTCAGTTGTCACACAGCAGTCCAAGATCAGAAGGAAATGGGAGACAGAGTCTGAGCCAGTCCACACATGTGGACTTAACAAAGTGGGTTTGAGTTCAAAGGTAGGTAAACTCCTCAGACCTAAATAATATATAAAAAAGTCTCAACACCCTAGAAAATGATCAGGGAACCAAGAAGCAGGTAATAGGATTGCTCTGTACATTCTGACAGTAGCCTTTTCTTACAGGATATAAGAAATGAGCTTTTCCAGCAGATGGAGAGAAAGAAGGGGCACAGTACATTCTCTTGTTAAGGAACCTTCTCTCAGAAAAGTAGTTTGACAGGTAGGTATAAGTTAACATAATTTACACATTTCTATAGCTTGGATAAGTGTAGGCTATTAGTGCAGGCTGATGTAACCTATGTGACAAGAGGCTGCAGTCTGAGAAAAGATGAAAGAAGATTCAAGATGAAAGACTTACAGTATATGATGTGCAATTGACACCATTATTTATATCACCTCTGACCCCCAGCTCTTATAGATTAGGAATGAAACATGACCTGCATGTAAGTATGAATATATTGAGGAACCAGAAGAGCACTGAAATTGGACAAGTATCTGCAGGACA